TTGTCGCAAAATATATATTAATATATTGAAATAGTTAATGTATTATATTTAAATATAAAAGGGGCGCACCATCGAAGGCGCCAGACACCCCAGGAACGGGCCTGGGCCTCGTCCTGGTATCCATGCACAACATGTCCAAAATTTAATGGTCGCAAAACACCCTTCTGCCCCCGAGCACTTAATTTATTAAAATTCCGCAGAGGCTTAAGTCTCCCTTTGTCAGCCTCTATTCACATCTATTAAAAACCGTAGAACATTTCGGTAAGCGGTTTGTTTTTTATTAAGGATAAGATTAAGGACAATGTGATTTTTATGGTCCAAAAGTTTTTTTATTAAATTATTATCAAAGTTTTGGTTTCAAGTAGATAGAGAATTTTAATTTAGTATTACGTTTAAAGTTTGTACCCAATTTTGTATCTATGTTGTGGTGGTAAAAAGTAACAAAACAACAAAATTACTCATTACTTACTATTGTTAGTAACTAAAATATATTTGAGAATCTGAATCTATTTCAGATATAATGAAACGGAGTTTTTCAAATTATTGATGCTTATTAACTTATTATTTCTATTAAACAACATTTTATGAAAGGGTCCAATCGACCTCCGCGACGCTGCTTTTTTTTAATATTATTTAGTTGCTGATGAGGAGCAGTAGACATATCTTAAAATAAATAATGGGTTGCATACAATACTCGTATTAAATCGGCAGTAAAGTTCTACTTTACTGCCGATTTCTTTTACTCTACTGCCGATTGTTGACTACTTTACAGCCGATTTAGGATAAAATTTATTTATCTACTCCCATTGCATAATATTAGGTTTTTGCATATAGGGGAAGGTGGGGGAATTTTGCGCGGTGGGTAATTTTACGCATAAACAATTCTTCCAGATATGAAGAAAATAATAAATTTTTTGAATGTTGCAAACTTGGAAACGTTGCTTTGGGTATACGGGGACTAAAGTGTACCGCAATTAAGCTTGTAGCTTTTAGCTAGTGACCATGGTCACTAGCTAACTGTGATACATGTACTTTGATCTAAGAAATCCATGTCGTTTCCGCTACGAGTTAAGTTTAAATTTCTGTCCAAACGCTTAAATGTTTATAACACAACTTTATATGATCTTTCCTCGTAATCTGGTGTATGTTTAAATTGTTCAGGTTAACTTTTGGAAAGTTTTTTAGTATCACAATATTTTTCTTGCAATGGGGGTAATTTTGCGCTGCAAAATTTGGCCAATATGGGAGCTTTGGTATACAGAAGCCTAGATTGTTCAGCATAAACAGTTCCATTTGGACACACGCGGAGTGTAGCGAAAAAAAAACCCTAAAACTACATATGTGACAAATGCTGCATGTAGACCCTCTTATTTCTAAGAAGAAAAATTTTATTTTTAGTTATTTATTTTTTATTTTGTTTGTTTTGTTTGTTTCATAGAGAAAATAGTTTTGTTTTATTTTTATGTTTTATTGTAATAATATTATAGAACTAAACGGTTTATTTAGATACCTACAAATCTTTCTCTGTACAGCCCAAATTTTCCTACTATGATGCGCAAAATTACCCTGAAAGGTGGGTAATTTTGCGCAAATGCATTATTTAAAAAAATGTAGTTTTTGCATACCAAACATTTTTTTTATAAATTGCGCATTATATACACATAGTAAACATAGTAGACTATCGCTGGTATTAATTGCAAAATTTCACATTTAAACTTAACAAAGATACTAGAGATTTTGCTTAGATGCGCAGAATTCCCCCACCTTCCCCTACAGTGTCTAAGACCTTACCACCCTCGGAAAATTTGCATTGTCCAACCGATTTTTGTATACAAAAGTTTATAAACTTTTCTTGGATTAAAAAAGGATTTTTTTTTAAACTCTTATATTCATTAAGTGTTAAAACAACAGTTTATTGTCTACAAAACGTAAAAGTATTTTACATTCGTTAAATTTAAATTTTCTCTCTTTACATTTAGTAATTTATAAACTGTGGCATACCGTTTTCGAAGTGGCATTTCGCAATCTAGCATACGCAAATGTTTCTTGTTTTGTCGACTAAACTCACGGCTAACTACGGATTTATATTCGGGACCCCACTATGCCAATGTTAATCGCTCTTAAATACAGGGTGTCTCATCAGGGACATTTTTTAAAGAGGTCACAATTGGCCATAAGTTTAGTCGTCAAAACAAGTAATACATGCGTTTAAAATCTTTTTCAGAAATATATCCAACAAAAAAGAGTGGTAAAGACTTAAGTGGGACACACTGTTTATATATATATATATATATATATATAATGATTATAACCTCACTGACCTACACCAGGAAGAATAAACGTTATTTATATTAACGATCTGAGATCTATGAGTCAAATAGGATTTAAACCATTTTAAAACATTTCCAGAAAATCCCATTTTATTTAATTTACTTATTAACAAATCTCTATTTATAGTTTCAAAAGCTCTTTTAAAGTCTAAAAATGCAGTTAAAATATGTTTACCTTTATCTAATTCTTTAATCCATTTATCACAGACATTAATCACAGCAGGTTCACAAGAGTGTTTTTTTCGAAATCCTGACTGATTATCAGCAATAACACTATTTTTATCACAGTATTAACTTATTTGTTTTTTGACACAAAGTTCCAGGATTTTCTCATATGTAGCCACCACATTTATTGGTCGAAACTCTTCACATAAAGATGTCCCAGGCAATTTAGGCACAGGTGTTATGTACGATCTCTTTCACTCATTCGGAAAAACTCCTGTGTCCAGAGATGTATTTACAATATCGAGAAGTCTGTTTGCTACCACGTAACAGGAATCCATCGCCGACGTCACCTGTTTTTTTAAGCGACTTTATGATTTTTTTAAGGATTTCCATTGAAACTGCTTTAAAATTATTTATTTCTTCAAATGTTGTAATTTTGTTTAATGAGTTTTCTTGGCTAGGGCTTAAAGGAATGTCTTTAACAATTTTATTAATACTTTCAACAAAAAATATATTAGCATCATAAATTCAAATCATTAAATTTGTCAGCAATTCTCTTATTTTCCACTAAAATATTTTCAAATTTTACTTGTTTTATATTATTATTCTACAGGCTGAAGGACTCCGGTCGATGGCCTTTTGTATATTTTATATTTTATTGTTTTATATGTACTCAATATGCAATAAAAAGTCTATTTATTTATTACTCTTAGATCCAGGCATCAATGTTTTTAAATTTTTCCATAACATTTTACTGTTCTTTTTTTCTTCCAAGATATTTGTATAATAAACCTCTTTTGCATTTCTGATCATTTGGGTTACTTGGTTTCTTAAAATTCTGTTCCATTGAGACTGGTTAAAATATCACAATAGAGACCCTGTTCAAACCTATAGATTTTTGTATCGGATTGTATGGTGTTTCTATACGGTGTATCGGTATGTATAGGACCCATAGTTGGGGTTTATGGTTGTTCTATAGGGATATCCTTCCTTGATTTATTTGCTATTGGTCTCAATAGGGAAAATATACCCATTAAACCCCATAGGGTTTAACAAAATTTTGTCAAATGATTTATGGCTGCTCTATAGAGATATCCATATACAGGGTTCCCCATAATAGGCTACCCATTTTAAAATTTGAATTAAAAATTATTTAGTTAACAAAACAAACTTTTTATTATACTAAATTACAGCTAACTCTTTGAGATTTATGATAACTTATAAATATTTGGCTAATTTAATTCTAACTTTTAAAAATCACGTCTTCTAAATGACCTCCACGAACTTCAACACATTTTTCAATATTAGATAAAAAGTGGTAAAGTCGTAAACGCAATTCTAACTCGTTCAATATTTTCTGGTGTACGAGCCAGGCTTTTTCAAATTTTGTACAGAACCATTTTCACGCCAATGACGAACCCATAACTTAACAGTTTTACGATTTGGCGCCTGACCCCTATTGTTGTTATTAAACTGACGCCGGAATGCACGCCTAACTTAAGTTAGAATTCTTCTATCGAATTGCTTCTTATGTAAGTTTCTACACAAAACACACGTTGTTGGACTAAGTAATCCATGAAAGTTCAAACGGATGTTGAAATAATGTCTCAAAGCAAAAAAATTAAATAACTTAAATAATTATTGATGAAAACTAACAAACTTCTCCTAGAAAAAATGACGTTCCAAGAAATTATTAATTTAAAACTTATTTGTGACAGGCGCCTACTTGATTAATAATTAACTTAAATCCCAAAGACTATAGAAGATATTCCCATAGAGAACAACTTATTTAGTTATCTCGTAGGGAATTTATTAATAAAATAAAATGGGTAGTCTATTATGGGGAACCCTGTATATCCTTTCTTGAGTTATTTGCTATCGGTCTCAATAGGGGAAATGTAAAATTTATGGTGTGTCTAGGTAATTTCCTATAAATTTTCTATCGGGCTGTATCCGGAAAAAACCGTGGACAAATGCACATATTGAGTCCGTTAGCGCCCGATGGATTATTTATATGGGTATGTATACATGGGGTATTTTAAGCAGGGATATTGCAGAATTTTTTAAAATAAAAATTTCAGAGACATTGATATTTATTTGAATGCCTATAAAAATTTAATAAGGGCACCAATTTGTGAGATCTCTATTATTTTTCGCTCATTGCAAGAATAATACATTTTACAAATTCCGTCAAATGTATGACTTTAGTCCGTTTACCGGAAATCGAAAAGGAAATTAGGCAAACAAAATGGCCAGTCATTTTTATTTCTTTTATTAAAAAATACTCAATCGGTTTAAATTCGTTTAAAATGTTTGAATATTTTTTGGCTAAATTGGTTAAAAAGTTGATTTAAAGTCGATCCGTTAAAAAAAATGTCAAAATATTTTCTTGTTCTGCGATTTATATTAGAAAAATATTAATTACTTTCAAACCTTAACTGCTAATAGGTACATATTTTTTACAATTATTTCTGGTTAAACCTAATTATCAAAAAAACAATAAATAGATACGAAAAATATATTCATGTAAGTGTACAACTTAATATAAAAAATAAATCCTAAATATATCCAATTAAAACATTGGTTTTATATAATGAAAAATGTAAAAATGGTATAATAGTTAAATAATTTTATACGAAATATGAAAATAAATAAAGAAGCTCTCCTCTTAAATAGACTTAATCCTTGCATCCAACCCTGGCTTTCTATTGGGTGTTTCCTTGATAACCTCGGTAGAGGCACCAATAGGCCTGGTGGCACGATTTTGATGAAAACTTTCTTCCTTGTTGTGACGGACTTCTTTTAGAATTCTGTCAAGGGTTGTCACCACGTCTTCCACATTCTCCTTGGAAAATACCATTGGTGGTTTTAGCTTGATGACGTTACAGTCAGGACCGTCTACGCTAAGTAAAATATGTTCCTCTTTCATTCTAAAAAAAAATCCAACTTTTCATCCAAAAATCCTTAATTTTTAACTTATCTAGCAGTTGTCACATATTTTGTTAATAGTATTGATAAGTAACATAATTATATTTTACCTTGAAACAATGTATGTGGCAGTTTCATAATCTGCTTCTCTGGTATTTCTATCTTTAACAATTTCAATTCCCACAAAAAGTCCGACTCCACGTACGTCTCCAATACAAACGTGTTTTTTCTTCAACATTTGACAACTGTCCAATAAATATTCTCCAACGACCAAAGCATGTTCTCTTAGATTTTCTTTTTCAATTGTGTCAAATACTGCATTTGCAATTGCGCAAGAAACTGGGTTACCACCATACTAAAATATTGTTATTCATTATTAACAGTCATAGAAAGTAATATTGTTTTAGTGCATAGCTGTTGAGGAAAGTTACCTAATATAGAATAGTGACCTAAAATGGAATATAAGCATTTATCTTAAACAAACATTTGAAGACGCAAAACACTTTAGTATCACACTTATTTCATCTAGTCAGTCCGGCATGCAATGCCGTTATGGCATAAGTGTTTTATTTATTGGGCTATAGAAACCTATAGACATGTCTTAAGTTAAGTATTTTTTGTTGAAAATAATAAAGTAAATATATACATAAAGCTGCTTCGTTTAAAACAACTACTTATTTTTTCACTTCTGCCTCAAAATATTGCTGTAAAGGTCAAAGAGGACAATTTTTCATTTAAAATACACCTTATTTCATAAATGAACCGAAAAAAGGTATGGGAAATTTGTAGGAAATAACATTTTCTACAAAAAAGTCCTTTTTATGACTTTGTAGATTACGGTGTTCTGTTCTGTCTGTTAGAGATTGGGTTCATAGACTTTTTTTCTAATTACCTATAAATTTGTCATTTTGTCATTTATGAAATAAAAACGAAGAAACCATAATTTTATACAAAAATTAAATTTAGTGGCCCGAACGAACTCACCAGTGTGTTACAATTTGGTGCTACAATTGTAGCACACCATTAATGGGCACTTTTCTTGATTGATTAATTTCTAGTAAAAGGCATATTTGAACTGGAGCCAAAAATGCAGTTAAAATTTTGAAATGTAAAAAGGTTTAAGTTTATGTGTATTTAAATTGAAAATCTTTCAACGCTAAGGAAAAGTATATAATATTAATATTACGAGCTCAAACTTACAGGGATATTTTCTTTTAGACCTTTACAACCAAATTTTGAGGCAGGAGTGAAAAAAATATAGTAGTTTTAAATGAAGCACCCTAATATTTTTCAGAAAAACGGAAACTATGGACTCTAAAGCTAAAGCCATCTCTATGGCTAAAGCTAAAGCTAAAATCGTGCAATTAAAAAAATTATATATCGCACAGAGGCGACAACAGTGTCATAAGTAGTAAAACGATAATTCCGATATAAGTTAACGTAAAAGATTTTTGAATAATAAAAATATGATATTTTTGTAAAATTATATTAACTTACACTGTAAGTTAATATAATTTTACAAAAATGTCAGAATTTTATTATTCAAAAATCTTTTACGTAAACTTATATCGGAATTTTCGTTTTACTACTTATGACACTGTTGTCGCCCATGTGCGATATGTTTGCGCTTATAATGACACTTGGACTTATTTTTAAGTTAGGTCCCTTTTTGTTAATTTAATTTTTCTACAATTTTAATTTATATTAAAAACACAATATATATAATAATATATAATAATAAATATATATCTAAAAACATATACAGTTAAATATATTTAATTAATGTAACCCTTTATTTGTTTGTGAAATAAACAAAATGGTAGTTCAATTAATTTTAAAAGTTGACAAAAGTTGTGGTAATTTTACGAATTTTGTCTTCAATTTATACCTTGTGTTATTAAACCGTCCTAGTATTCTAGTATCAAAATTTTGAACACAAATTTTTTCTGGTAGGAATGTGCATTTCCTTTCAATTTTTTAAATTATACCACCCTATATATACAGGGTGTCCCAAAATTGTCGAACCAAAGGGTAAAGGTAAGTTTCTCTTGAAATCCCAATTTTTATGTAGGTAAGTTTCTCTTGAAATCCCAATTTTTATGTACCTACTATTTTTTAGTTTTTACAAAATTGCGAAAGTTATTTAATTTTTAAAGGCACCAATGGTAGCGCAGTGTTTCTGCTTATCGAACGAGATTTTGTTTTTTTTTGTGTTCGCAAAAAAAGCTGATATTCTAATATTTCGAAAAGTAAACAAAAACAAATTGAATGAGTGTTAAAAATTAATTAACTCACGCAATTTTGCGAATTTGAAAAAATTGTCTTGTTATTTTAAGAGGAATTAACCTTTACCCTTTGGGGTGACACTACCAATTTTTGTATGGGTTTACGTTTATTAAAATTTTAAAATTACTGCTATTTATGTAATTAGTTTTTATAAAATACATCATAATAATTTACAACTTTGTTAGACTTTGAAACAATGTAAACATTTGTTTATCGTTTATTTGCTAAGTACATAGTTAAATATTTGTTTTAGTCGTTTATTATATTATCTTAAAACTAAAACTAAAGTACCTACGTATTATAAAATAACAATGTATATATTTTTTAACTTTATAAATGTAGAACTGAGTTTTATTCTAAATAAGTCAAACTAGAGGCCTACAAATTAAAAAAAAAATTGTAATGCCATAATTAAATTATAACTGTAATGTCTAGTGACTTCAAATACAAAAAAATGGTGTTCAAACTTCAAAACTACGTTTCGTAGCTACCCTAGTAAAAATATTTCTACAACATTTAACGCGAAAATTACAATTGGGATTGGGATTGGGATAATTGGGTATTTATTGTAATAAATATCCCAATTGATGGTCTCGGTGCAAGAACTGGGTATCTCCATATTCGGAAAATGTTCAGGAGAAAAAAAAAACCTTGTTAAAAATTATTTTGCACAGTATAATTTCTGCGGTATCTCCTGTATATGATATATTTAGTTAACGCTAACGTGGATCTACACGGTTTGTGCACCGAACGATGCGGACTACTCAGGGCCGGATTTAGCATGGGGCCAGCGGGGCCACGGCCCCAGGGCCCCCACCATTTAAGGGCCCCCACCAATGCAATATGTAGCTTTTTAATAAAACGAATATGAAAAAATTGACGAAAAAAATTGGGTCGGTTATACCGCGCGAATCCTGCATGTAATTTTCACTAGTAATACCACTAGAGGTCAAATTATTTCCGGAAATTTTTTCGAGCTCATGAATATTTTGAAAATTATCCCGAGTCGAAGACGAGGGATAATTTTCTAAAAATATTCATGAGGGAGAAAAAATTTCCGGATTTAATTTGACCTCGTGTGGTATTCGGTGAGAAAATTCCACACCAAATTGTGTTTAAATAATAATTAAAATTTATTTTTTGATTTAACTTGACCTCGACTTGATTATTTAGTTACCATGGCAACTAAGTCAACCCCAACCTAAAAGTTATTTCAGTTTTGAAGCTGTCAAGCGGCACGACGTAAAAAAATGTGAAATTGTCTGCTGTAATGATCCATCATCGTGCAATGACTTATTTACCCGCATTATTAGAGGATTGTGGCTCCTACTTGAAGAAAGAAAATTTGTTTTGAATTGTTCACGAATATTTGCATCTTAACTATTCAAAAGTGCTAAATGGATAAAAAGGTGAATAGAATAGTGTCTAAATATTATACAAACTGGCTATTTATACGTCCGACGTATACAAAATTTGGTATACGTCTTGTGCTTTCATTGGCTAGTTTATTATTAGCGTCTAGTTCCAGCGCCGGCTACTTTTCGCAGACATGCTTCACACGTCACACCCTGTAAACTGGTATTATTTTCAAAACAAAAGGAATTATTTAATAAGCTCGGTAGCTCCGATGGAAGAGCGCCCGGTTTGTATGCGAGAGATACCAGGTTCGATTCTTGGCGCCAACAACTTTTTTTTTATTTTTATTTATATAGCGAAAAGGATTATTATTTAATTTTACATTAATATTCATTTTGCTACAGTTATATAATATAATATGTAATTATATGAATATTCCTTCGTTGAAAAATTGGGCGGGGGGGGGGCCAATGGGGCGGGGTCGGTTGGGTTGGGTTGTTGAGTTTGGGTTGGTTTGAGTTGGTTTCGCTCACTTTTGCCCATTTAAGTTGATTGACAGTGAGCGAAACCAACCCAAACTCAACAATGAAAGCTCAAGACGTATACCAAATTTTGTATACGTCGGACGTATAAATAGCCACTTCGAATATTATATATATTTCATTAGACATAGACATTTAATTTATTTCAAGTCCTGCATTTTCGCCATTAAGAAGAAAGGAGGTGTCCAACGAATATAGAAAACATCTAAACTTTGTAATGGAAATGTATCAAAATTATTATGTAAACAAATAAAAACCAGATTGTCAAAAAAATAATCTGTCATTATAAACGTCAAAAAAATTTCCAGTATAATTCGCTGTTGGGTACCCACGAGGAAAAAATTTCCACTAAAATTCAACCGTTGCCATGGTGATCTATCAAAAATACACGTTTTGATCTGGTTAAAAATTACAGGTGTGGAATTTTCAATGTAATTTTCAATTAATTTTTCGTAGATCTAACTCTAATTTTTCGTGGATTTTTTATCGCTTATCTGCTTGCAAATCAGAATGTAAATTATCACACTCAAAGTTTTGGCGCGCGAAGACGTTTTTATATAGTCTATAGTCATAAGTTATGACTCATAAAAATTTTAAGCAGTTGCTCTTTTAGTGCTTGTCGTAACGTTTTTGTAAATACAGGCAAACAGTCAATTACTTATAATCTAATATTAAAGTTAGTTTTTCTCCCAGATTTTTATTGGTACATGGGAGTGTTGTGGAATATTTTCCGGTGTTTCCGAAATACTGTTTCGTGCTTTTCTTTGGACAAAAGATTGTTTGATTTTGTTTGAAAAACAAATAATACGACTTTTGATCCACTTTTTTTCAGTTTGCGTTAAGTATTAAAAATAAAAACAAAACATAAATCAATTTATATTTTACTTGTGTGTGTGTGTATCTTCATATACCTAACTCAATTTAGCAAAAATATGGGGATACCGGGTTCTTGCACCAAGCCCTTCAATTATAAAAACGTCAAAACCAGTTTTTTATGTTTTTGCTCAAAACTCATTGAAATAAATAGTGTTGGTAATGTTATTACTATATAATAGTATAGTTAGTTTGTCATATTTTTGATAATTTTGTTTTAACAAATTTTTTATTTTTTTTTATTTTTAGTATGTATTTTCACTCGAGAAATATTCTTCCTTAATACCGCTTGGGCTTACAAATAAACCACACAATTTTTATTCAAGCTTGAAACTAATTTTAGTTTGTTCTCTGCCTATAGTCACTACAATTTTTTGTACAAGTGAGCATTTTTACGTGTTTGTTTTCGTCAATTATAAACTTTTTTTAGAGAAAAACCTAGGAAAAACCTTGACGATTTGGAAACAGAACGATATAGACCAACCAATGCAAAGAGACTTCATAAAAGATAATAATTGCCTGCATTTAATGCATAATTTAGAATCAGCGGCCTGGATATCTTTTGTAAACATTGTAAAAACATTCCTAGAAAATCATGGTACTGGACCCGCTGAAAATTTTTAACATGTCTGCAGGCTTGGGTCTAACATGAGTATAAAAGTTCATTATCTCCATAGCCATTTATTTCCCGAAAATCTAGGCTCTTATAGCGAGAAACAGGTAATCGTAAAATTCATATTATTTGGGTATATTGGGGTGCTTCAAAAAAAAATTGTTCGCTCTTACCTTCTCAAATGTTTCTATTTAATATAAAAAAAATCCTCACCAAATATGTGCGTTCCAGCTCAACTCTAAGAGATCGCTGTTTTTATTTTAGTTTCCCATTTAATTAACATGAGAAAAAATAATTTTATGTTTGGAATTTTATACCTCTGTATCAAAGTAACTCTACAAAAAAGGTCTCTTATTATTTTTCGATAAATTGATTTCTTCTAGAGTTATTCGAGGTCAAAGTTTGATTAACATCAAATTTTTTGTTTTTTTTTAAATTTTATGGTACAATTCGCAGACGGGAGAAAAGAGTTGAAAAAAAAAATTTTCTTGAAGCACCCTAGTTTGCATACAATCGGAAAAAAAAGTTCCATGGAAAAGTTTTCCAAATTTGTACCTTCCTTTTTCTCGCTCTACAGGCTCAGAATAATTATTTTCGATTAAAAGCGTCAACTTGTGAGTCAATATATTTTCAAATAATTTAGAAACCGAAAAAAACATTCTAAAAAAAAATCTTTTACGAAATTTTTTGGGTACCCCATTTTGCTCCCCTGCTGCCTTGTTTTGCCCGCTTTCACCTCCCGTCTGCTAATTGTACCATAAAATTAAAAGAAGAAAATTTGATGTTAATCAAACTTTGACCTCGAATAACTCTAGAAGATATCAATTTATCGAAAAATAATAAGCGTTACATTTTATATAAGAAACTGCAATGATCATTGCCATAAGTTACTTTTATACAGAGGTATAAAATTTCAAACATAAAATTATTTTTTCCCATATTAATTAAATGGGAAACTAAAATAAAAACAGCGAACTCTTAGAGTTGAGCTGGAACGCCCATATTTGATGAGGATTTTTTTATATTAAATAGAAACATTTGAGAGGGTAAGAACAAAAAAAAAATTAATTTTTTTTTGAAGCATTCTAGGGTACATGCTATATCAGAAAAACTAAAACGTGTTATAGAAAAAATATAAATACAGTTAGAATCTGGATAACTCGTAAACAAAAAAGTTTTAGCGGCATGAAAACCACCGTAGGCCCCTTAAAGAGCTATTTTAAAGCAATAAAATCAGATGTTTCGATAAATGTGACGCTTACGGTTAAAGCGTCACTTAACCGTGAATGTTTAAAAATATTTGTACATAAAAAACTTAATTTTAAATAAAATTGATTTTGTATAATGTTACATAATTAAAGTATAATTTTATACGATAAACGTGTGGTTTTATTTCTCTAATCTTATCAATAGTACCTACGATAAGTTTTAAGTAAATTGCACTAAAAATGTATGTCAAACTAATTTAAGTCAACGACATTTCCGGTGGAAAAAATAATAATTATAAAATGTTAGTGAACGTCAGGGCTGGCTCCAGGGGTGTGCGAAGTGGGCAAAGCTATAGGGGCGCCAAGTAACATACATAAGTCACCCTCTTCTATATTTAAAATATCTATACAGCACATTAAAATACTTTTATCCTTTCTTTCATACCTATAAAGGGAAAACCTGTAAAAATCCACAGTTATCTGAGTTTTCATCTTATTTGTAACTTTTTTTGCGTACTAGATTTTGAGTTACCCCACCTTTATTTATTTTTCCCATGGCCGCCATATTGGTTATATTATGTGTGTGTAACATGTAAAACTTAGTTTTTTTTAATTCCCAGGAATATACACTGCGCGTCAAAATTAACGCATAATAAGTAAAAAAATACTAACTTTAAAACGCCTTTATGAAATTTTGTATAAGAATACTTCAACTTATATTTCAGTTTACGTGTTCAAGGGTTTTTCGAGAAAATAGCCCTTTTATTTAATATTAAAAAAACGCTCGAAAAAATAACCCCTTTTTGATTATTTTGCTGAAAAGTGGTCATTTTTACCGACTTTGAAGCGCTGTATCTTCGTTACTGTTCGTTTGATTTGTACAAAATTTTTTAATATTAAATAAAAGGGCTTTAAGGATATTTTTTCGAAAAACCCTTGAAAACACAAACTGAGATATAAATTAAAGTATTTTTATCCAAAATTTTAGATTGGTAAAGGCGTTTTAGAGTTAGAATTTTTTTACTTATTATGCGTTAATTTTGACGGGCAGTATAGGAAGTTTATAACGATTTTTGGTTTTGACAGGTTTTTATTTTTTTTTCAAATATTTTGAATCAATTTATAAATTTCATTTTTAAAGGCTTTTAATAACGCAATTTTTCTCTGATTTAACCGACCTTGTATAAAAAAATACCCTTACAAGGAAGTGACTAAGCGGTCCGCCCAGGGACCACCTAGGCCCGAAACTAGTGCTAGTGAAGGCGTTGCAGTACACCGGGGCCCCCGGTTGTAAGGGGCCTCCAGGACCGTGTGATGTAATATAATAAAGTCAAAATTTTTATAAAAACTGAGTTTGGGTTGGAATTTTTTTTGATGAAGCAATTATAAAGTTGATTTTGGATTCAGCACGTCGAAAACCTTAAGAAAAATATAGACTCCATTTTTATACACCTGTATAATTTTTAATCTAGAACTGCCAAGAGTGGGCCCCATGATTTTATAAAAGAAATTACAATTACAAGTTAAAGTATAATTATATACAGCTAAGTATATTATATACGAGGTGTGTTCAGAAAATAACGGGAATTGTTAAATTTCGCGGGTTCGGAGAGTCCGGTTGTCATAAAATTTTCTTTATTATGTTCGTATACATGCCCCCGAAGTATGATAAAAACTTTAGCTGTTTTCATTGTTTACTTTGTCTGTGGCAGCCGCGGTTAGGCGTGTTTTATGAGCTCGGCGATTTTAGTTCGTTCGAAAGAAATAGATCAAAGAATTTGTATCCAATTTTGCTTAAAAAATGAAATAAATTCTGTGAAATGTTAACAAAGGCCTATGAGTCTGCTATAAGTAAAACAAGAGTTTACAAGTGGTATAAAAGTTTCCAAGATGGCCGTGAATTCGTTGAAGATGACGAACGCCCCAAACGCACAAGCACATTAACAACCGATAAAATCATAGAAAAAGTGGAAGAAATGGTTATAAACCATCAGAGAAGTCGCTAATGATGTTGGTATATCGATTGGCTCATCCCATGAAATTTGTTCTTATATTGTTATTTGTTAAATTTTGAACAAAATTTTTGGCCAAAAACAATACTGTAATGATGCCCCAGCCTCCATATTCGCCAGACATGCCTCTGTCTGACTTTTTCATATTCCCAAAAATAAAGAGAACCTTAAAGGGCCGTCGTTTTGCAAGCATAGATGACATTAAAAGCGCATCGCTGAACGAACTAAAGGCTATCCCAATGATCGAGTTTTAGAAGTGCAACAACATTAATGTAGACAAATAAATAAATATTTGTTTCAAAAAACGAAAATTCCCGATAGTTTCTGAACACACCTCGTATAACTTAAGTTCGCTTGTAATCAATTTTCATGTCTTTGATTATATTATTGTCATGGGGGCGGTTGCAATAAATAATTATCATGGGTAATATTTAAAATGTAACATTTTAATTATGTTAATGCAAGTAGCAAATAAAACATTTTATTTTCAAACTCTTAAAACATTGCAGCAATATTTTGTAAGGATTTTTCCCAGTGGGTTGTAACCATTTTAATTAAATTTTAGCACCACTTTAGTTTTTTCTAGAGTAAAAAATCAGGTTATTTTACCGTATTAAAATATTCCACTCCTGTATTCAAAAAGCTATTAGCCACGGCTCTGGTGGTAATTACGGCGGCTACAGGATGACCATTACCCATGGGTTTACCCATAGTTACGATATCTGGAACCACATCGTATTGCTGGAAGGCCCACCAATGTTTACCGATACGTCCGAAACCTACTTGCACTTCATCGGCAATGCAGACTCCACCAGCAGCTCTGACATGCCTATAAACCTAAACAAAAATTAAATTAAAGTTGAATAAAAGTAGTCAAATTGGATTAAAATTTAGTTTTATGCCTTATACATTTTGCGTTTTCAATAATTATTTGCTTACGATGTTTCATGTTTATTTTTAATAAATGCATTCCCAGGGAATTCCATTTTAAATTGATTACTTTTGAACCCTTCTCATTTTAATTAACTCTATTGTTGTCAACACTAAACAGTAAAGTGATTGAGGCCTATTAAAATCATTATGGACTGGTAATTATAATTAGTGTAGGGCATCACTGATTTGCCGAATTTATTATTCACTATAATTTAAACCAATCATAAAACTTGACTATTGTCAGAAGGCTTTAACCTAACTTTTTACTTTTAAAAATTGTACGTTTCATGTATCGAAAACAAATCAAATTGGCTTTAAATTCTGAAAAACATTACATTACGTTCTTTATTTTTTCTTAACCAAAAAATTGTATGAATTACCTATTAATCTAAAAAATCTTATGAATTACCTATGGGTAAAAATATTTTTATAGATTAAAAAAATAACTAATTTTTTAATTCTTATTTGCCAATTTTTCAATAGAATAGTTTATTTCGTAACAATCTGTGGCAAAGGATCAGAGTCTCCGCCAAACAAAACTACATACATACAATTTATTTTGTAACAAGTTTGTAATACAGCTGGGGCCCGTTTCACAAAAGTAACAAGTTACAAAGTCACCAGTAAAATTTAACCAATCTGTAATAAATCAGAAGTACTAGTGTTTCACAAAGACAACGTTACAAGACTTGTAACAACCAGCGAATTTTCACTACTTACAAGTAACGTTTTTATAGAATTACTCTTGTAGTTTTAGGTATTGTCACAAGTTACAACTTTACGCAGGTGAAAATAAGCAAAAATTTTCACCCACATCTAGAGGTTTGTAAAATCAATTTATTTGTGTATTTGTGGTGTCAAATATTAAAAAGTATAATGTGGGAATCATCATCCTCTGAAGATGAATTACTTGAACAACCACGCCGTCATCGAAGACGTTTAGGTTAAGAACAAATTTAAATTTTGTCACCTTTTACGAGTTCAATGAGAGATTTCGAATGTCATCAGCATGGAATCTCTTTTTGCAGACATAGGGCACATACTTCAACATGCCACAAAAAGAAGTGAGGCCCTGTCAGAAAGAATTCAATTGTGTGCAGCTCTCCATTGGCTATTTATACAAATGATAACAATTGGGAAGATAAATTTACAGCTAAACGCTAAACTGAGCACCACTGGGTGTCCAGATATATAATTCTATTTTTTTTTATGGGAATCCCATTTTAATAATAATCAGGAGTATTTATAGAAAAAAATATCTGGCCGGGTGATGACCATAACTTTGAATAGGTTGAACTAAACAATAAAGGTTATTTGTGTATTTTTTAAGGTTTTGCCAATATACATCTCTGGTGTAGCTAAAAACCTTGTTAGCTGACACAAGTCCTAGCGCTAAGACTTTCTCATGGATGGTCTTTCATGCTTTCACTTTGTCCTCCTTAGTCAGTTTGTCTGAGAAACTCCCAAACAAAACTTTCTTCGAAGATAGCACATTGTGCAAAAATTGCATCTTTCCTTCCTTCTTTAAGGACATAATTAAAATTAAGTGGCTTAACCTTACTTTCAAACATGTGTATTTTTTCACAATTATTGTGAAAATTCCACACCTGTAATTTTTAACCAATCAAAACGTGTATTTTTGATAGATCACCATGGCAACGGTTGAATTTTAGTGGAAATTTTTTCCTCGTGGGTACCCAACAGCGAATTATACTGGAAATTTTTTGACGTTTATAATGACAGAATATTTTTTTGGCAATCTGGTTTTTATTTGTTTACATGATAATTTTGATACATTTCCATTACAAAGTTTATTAGATGTTTTCTATATTCGTTGGACACCTCCTTTCTTCTTAATGGCGAAAATGCAGGACTTGAAATAAATTAAATGTCTATGTCTAATAAAATATATATAATATTAGGCACTATTCTATTCACCTTTTTTTCCATTTAGCACTTTGGGTTTTGAATAGTTAAGATGCAAATATTCGTGAACAATTCAAAACAAATTTTCTTTCTTCAAGTAGGAGCCACAATCCTCTAATAATGCGGGTAAATAAGTCATTGCACGATGATTGATCATTACAGCAGACAATTTCACATTTTTTTTACGTCGTGCCGCTTGACAGCTTCAAAACTGAAATAACTTTTAGGTTGGGGTTGACTTAGTTGCCATGGTAACTAAATAATCAAGTCGAGGTCAAGTTAAATCAAAAAATAAATTTTAATTATTTAAACACAATTTGGTGTGGAATTTTCTTACCGAATACCACACGAGGTCAAATTAAATCCGGAAATTTTTTCTCCCTCATGAATATTTTTAGAAAATTATCCCTCGTCTTCGACTCGGGATAATTTTCAAAATATTCATGAGCTCGAAAAAATTTCCGGAAATAATTTGACCTCTAGTGGTATTACTAGTGAAAATATTTTTCACAAGTGTGAAGAGATATTTACAATTGTGAAAATATTTTAACTATTGTTAAAAAATTTTGCGGAACACCTGTACTTGTAGATTTGTTATTACAAGTACCTGTAATAGTAAAATTGTGACTTTGTAACATGTAATTTTCGTGAAACGGGCCCCTGGTAGCCGCCTGCCTGGTAACCCCCTAGCTGCGACGCTGGCCATGACTCTTAGGATTTATTTCTTTTTTTTGTCTTTACTATAGAATACTATCTAAATATCTAATTTTTTGGCGTTATTAAAAAATAAATGTAAAATTTAATTTTAATGGAATAACTTACATTTTCAAAGTAATTTGGTGGTGGAATTACTTGTCCTCCGCAGCTCAACATACTTTCAGCTATGTAAGCACACATTCCTTCTCCAAATTTGGTTTTAACATTATCACAAATATCTTTAATTTCGTTAGCATATAGTTCTCCAATTTTGGATTTTTCGTCTTTGGCATCATTAAATTTGCCACGGTAAGAATCTGGGCAACTAGCCTGTAATTAAAAGAAATATGTTTAGTTTAATTTACAAAAATAAGTATTTACTATTATTATAATAATACAGTACTGGCTTTAAAGGGGCATTACAGTATTTTTACCAATAAATTTTAATTAAATTTTCCAATTACGAGCCCTAACCACATAATGTTCGGACACTTCATAATTTATACAGAAATTGTTTTCGTGAATACTATCTCAAAATTATTAGAAGTTATGAAAAATTCAGCTTATTTTGGCATATACCCCTCGAAGCGATTTTTATTTTTAAAAAGTTTACCTTTTATTTTTAGCTTTTAAAAAAAGGCTAACTTTTTAACTTTTTTTTGTATGAGTAAAAAAAGTTATAAATGGACCCATTAAAAAGAGCATAAAATATTATACAAACCCTGAAAATTTGGTAAAAAATAAATAAGTTATAAAAAAGTATAAGTAATTTAAAAATGCTATTTTTAAAGAGTTTTTGCAATTTTCTTAGGAAACGGGAGATTTTGCAGATATATATATCGCCATAACTTTCTTATTATTTATACAATTTTTACCAAACTTTCAGGGTTTGTATAATATTTTATGTTCTTTTTAATGGGCCCATTTATAACTTTTTTTACTCATGCAAAAAAAAGTTAAAAAGTTAGCCTTTTTTTAAAAGCTAAAAATAAAAGGTAAACTTTTTAAAAATAAAAATCGCTTCGAGGGGTATATGCCAAAATAAGCTGAATTTTTCAAAACTTCTAATAATTTTGAGATAGTATTCACGAAAAAAATTTCTGTATAAATTATGAAGTGTCCGAACATTATGTGGTTAGGGCTCGTAATATTAAAAATGTCAAAAAAGTAAATTTAGAAAAAAAATAAGGAATAAATATATATGTAGTAGTTATTTCATATAATATTCATACAAATAATTAACAAATTGAGACTAAAACAGTCCATACACTAATCAAAAAAATTATATTTTCCAATTTTTACATTTTTAAATTTGAATACATTTGTAGATGGAATAAATTAAACATGTATAAATGTACCTGTAAACACAAAACTTATATTAATTAATTGGCAGGTTTATTTTAAAACAATTACCTATACCAAAGTCTCTTGAACACTTTGAATATAAATGGCAAATTTAGAATTGGCAAAAACTTTTAGGATGTAATAAGTCTGTGACTTTTATTATATAATTGACTTTTAAATATCTATAAATACAAAGTGATTTATTTATTTAAACTAAAACTTCTTACACATAATCTGGCTATCCAAACATATAAATGGCACTATTTAAATATATTAAATAATAAAAAAAAATTGTAAATACTCGGTTTTAAAAACGATTAGAAAATTTTGAGTTCCTTTTATGGACCTAACATTTACATTATATTTTTTTAACATAATTCTTACTTCTGTTTAGACTAGGCCAATTATGGAAAACCACAAACAAAGAAGCATTAAATAATAAACCTTGCTAAAGCCGATCCGTATAAAAACCCCTTTGTTTTACTTACCACATGGACGTATTCCCTTTGAGCTGGTCCTCCAGGAAGGTTAAACTTATAGTGCGAAATATCAATCAAAGAAGTCAAGTGGCCGTGGTAGGCACTAAAAAAATACTAGTTGTGGTTGCGTCCTCTAAATGTGTTTAAAGCCGACAAAAACTAGGTACTCATCCAAAACCTGTCATTATAATTTAATGTATTAAATAAGAGCTCCAAAATAGAAATGCAAAATCTCAAAAAATAACAACAGGTTTGGATATTATTTTTTTAAGCGTTTATTCCTGTTCAATCTTCTTTTCTTTAGCTGAAAGAGAAAAACGAAACAAAACGATTAGAAGTGTTTTAAATGTTTTCGGGTCGATTTAGTTTTTAGTCTTAGATTACGAACCAAAATAAAAGCGGGTAAGAGCCAAGGGCCTCTGTCGTCGTAAATAAAAACTGAAATATTAAAATGTTAGAAACAATTTGATTTACTTACTGCTCAAGGGCGATGACGTGTCTGTTTCCAGTGTGAATTTGAGCCAATCTTAAAGCCAAATCGTTGGCTTCCGAGCCAGAGTTTACGAAAAAGCAAACTTCAAGTTCTTCGGGTAAAGTGCTGACTAGTCTTTGAGCACAAAGAACGATGTTGTCGTGCAAAAATCTATTGTTAGTGTTAAGGGTTGACATTTGCTCGCAACCCGCCTTTACCACTGCAGGGTGGCAGTGGCCAACTAAAAACATAAACAAATAATTAATTGAGCGTTTGTTATGTATTTTTGCTAGATAAAAATTATGAACTCAATATTTTGTTTAGTTCATATTTATCTGTTATCGTAAGGTCAATTTACGGTTCATTCTTACAATATTTTAAATTTGCATGATTAAGAACTAAATTTAAATACAATAATTTTAAAGCGTGATAATTATTATTTAATTATATATTTATATACGACAAAGTGTTTTTTTTAGATTCAAAGAACATTTTAGGCTTAGTGTACTTACCATGAGCAACATTGTTAATACAATCCAAATAAGCATCACCCCTTTCATCAAACATATATTGTCCTTTAGCTGATACGATTTTTAGAGGATCCTTACGGAAAAATAACTGACAGGATTTACTAAAATTAAATAAATTTATTGGATTTTTTATATAGTTTCAACGATCTTTAATTAATTTATGTAATAAATGAAAAATAGATAATACGTCACAAAATCTAATTAGCATTAATAATAATTTTTCCATGTACACTACAAATGTTTAAAAAAGTAAACAAACCACTAATTAATCCACAAAGGTTATGATTATAGTTTTTATGATATGGCTGCTAACGGAAAAACTCGCTATTTTTAAATTAATTTTTCCATACCTACCTAATCGAAAAATAACAAGCAAATATTTGTTGTTTAAATGTATTTCTAAATATAAAAATGTGTATTTGTATAAATTTTGAATTTAAATTATAGGCTTATACAGGGTTAATTAATGCTAAATAATTTAACAGCAGATTCTTTAACTACAAAAAAATATTGAAATTGAGTTATATTTTCTTAGTAAACGGCAACCAAGATACAGGGTGTTAAAGTTAATTCTATTTTTTTAAACTTTGGCCATAAATTTAGCAATTATTAGTAATTTTTAGTGAAACTCGGTACTCTCTAAAAAAGATTTAGTCAAAAATTACTAATTTAGTTATTAGTGGCTGCTTTTTCACTTGTACCATGGTTAACCATGGAAAAAAACCATGGTATCCCATATAACAGCCAATTCTTTTGTAAAATTTTCCCCTGAATCCGAAAAAAGTTAAAAAAGTAGAACAGTTCTGTGGGTAAAAGGCATAAGGGGATAAGTCAAAAAATGCAATTTTTCAATAGAGCCTTTAACATGTTCGTATTAATTCAGGAAATATATTTATGTTTAGCGGGTATACGCTTTTGTTAGCATATGAGCTGTGCTAACAAAAGGGTATACCCGCTAACCATAAATATGTTTCCTGAATTAATGCGAATACGTTTAAGGCTCTACTGAAAAATTGCTTTTTTTGACTTATCCCCTTATGCCTTTTACCCACAGAGTTTTTGAGATATTGTCTATTTTCCATTTAATATGGAATTGACTATATCTCAAAAACTGCTCCACTTTCATAATTTTTGACGGTATTTTCGGATTCAGGGGTCAATTTTACCTAGAATTAGCTGTTAAATTTTGGGATACCATGGTATTCCATGGTTAACCATGGCACAAGTGAAAAAGCAGCCACTTATAACTATTAAATACTTAAATATTGTTATGGTTTAAAATGTAGAAGAATATATGTACTCACCCAATAAATTTGTCACGCAAGGCGATGGTTTCTTTTTTGGTAAGCGTCTCCATAATTCTTAACAAATTTTGAAGATTCAATGTAAATATTGTTACGAGAGTATTAATTACAATGCTTGGTGAGTCTCGTGCCAAACTTATTTTATAGCTTTGTAAATTGCGCGCGCGCATTTTCTTTCCGATTGTTTTAAATTAAATAGTTTATGACTATAATTATTTAGAGATTCATTGTTTTCACGTGCAATCTTTAAACACAGACCATTATTATACAAATAAGTAAGTAGGTACATATGAAAAATTAAGTGTAACTAAGCAAATCAAATACAAAATAATCATATTATGACGCAAAAAATGCATTAATAAAGTGTAAATTATTATTATTATTAATTATATATGTTTTTGCTTTATAGGAGCCATTTTATACCAAATCGTTAATCTTGTGGTTAATTAATTGAAAATTAGTACGGTGTCCCTGATAGCACACTTTATTCTAAGAATGTTTTTTAAACCTTCCAGTGAGAATATTCTTAGGAAAGAAGAAAGAATATGCTTAAAAGACATATAGCATGAATATTATTACTGGCCTATAGGTAGAAAGTGCAAAGTTTTAGTTGTAAAAATTAGTCTACTCTAAACATATGCTTGGAATGTTAAGAAAGTAATTGCTATAGAAAGTTCATTTAGGAATATTCCTGTTAAGCATATTTAGTTCAGTTACCTATATAATAGTAAAATATACCATAAACTACGTATAAAAGTATATACCTATACTTGAGTACCTAATTAGTAATTAGTATTAAATACCAAGTAAAAAACACAATCCAAAATATTTTTTTTATAATTATTTGTCAAATTAAAACAAAATTCGATAACAAAAATACTTTTACTATAGGTATTTTATTTTATGTTAAAAATACATATTTATTAATTTTTATACCGATTTTTTATTTCTGAATTAACATTTTTATGTATTATAATCCTAACTATCTTCAACTTCAATCTAATCTGACTTATCCCACAAAATTTTCCAATTTTACTTTTTATGAAATAATGTCATACAACTTATGGTTTAAAGGTCAAATTGTTTATTTAATATTTTTAAATAATTATATATATGTCGAAAAAATTTTTAAGGGGACGACAAATACATTTCACTGTCATATTATAACAGTGAGGCGTATTTGTCGTCTCCTGAAGAATTTTACGAATGTAGAATACAACATATCAGAACGTGGGTATCTGACATATTTGGAAATATTCTCAAAAGCTTCCTAGAAGATCTATAAGAAACCTTCTAAGAACATTCCAAAAATATTCTTAAAATGTTCTTAGGTTGCTTTTAAGGAAGGTTTTAAGAAGCTTTTAAGAATCTAATTGCATCATTAAAAGGGTCTCTATTGAATGTTTTAAAAGTCCCTAAGAACATTCTTAGCAATAAGGGAAGGTTCTAAGAATATTCCATTATTCCGGGTCATATCTTCTTAGAAGATTCTTAAAATCAAATTTTGCTATCAGGGGTAGTCTGCCGTGCTTAATGAAAACGCCGTAACCAACAATTTTGCGATTTTTGTTTTACGGCATTTTCTACTAGAACAATTCATCCTGTGTCTATCCCCGGTACTCAAAAAACCGTATATATATAGATACGGTTTTTTGAGTACCGGGGGTAGACGCAGGATGAATTGTTCTAGTAGAAAATGCCGTAAAACAAAAATCGAAAAATTGTTGGTTACGGCGTTTTCATTAAGCACGGCAGTAGTGGTAAGTGCTGCTTACTACAAGCCGAGAGGCCGTGGGTTCGAGTCCCACATTGGCATTATTCTAGATATTATTCTCTATTTATATGTTAAAGCATAGAGCTCATTTGACTAGTATGTATTGTCACAAGTGGGTTTGTCCTTTTGAGGGGAATTTAAGCCCAAAGTCCGTTTCTACCCCTAACCCGCATAAGCCATTTAGTTCTTTCTTAAAAAGGGTGGAACTAAAAAAGCACTTTTGGATATACTTTATAAAATACCCTTCCAAAAGTCGCGCTCCACATTAAAGGTGTATGATCTTCAGACTGCCATGAACACCAGAATTTTTGTTTTAATTTTACTATTATTATTTAAAAGATACAGCAAATACATATTTCTTTAAATGGGAATATTGCCTAGTAAAAAAATAGGTAAATTCTTAATTACCATGACAACAAATAAAAATATTGGCAAGTATCAAAATTAATTGACCAAATTCGTAACCGGACAGAAGCACAGCCATTCCACGTTACTCGGGAATTCTTGTAGCGTCCGTTACAATAAAAAATTGTGACTAAAACTACCGTAATTATGATGCTTATAAGCTTAAGCCTAATTATTACAAGCATAATAAACATGTTTGCAATATTAACTATTGTAATAGTATTTAATTTAATTACGGTAGCTTTTACTGGCGATTTTTTATTGTAACGGACGCTACAAAAATTTCCGAGTAGCGTGAAATGGCTGAGCAACAGACTTTCTGTCAGGGGCTAATAAAACCATATACAGGGTGTCCGGAAAAAGGAGGTCAATCCTTTAACCATATATTCCTTGAGTTAAAAGAATAAGACTTTCATAATACCATTTTTCAATTTAGAGCTTCATGTTCGATATACAGGGCGACAAAGTTTGAAATTTAAAACAGATTTTTTTTAATAATTCGAGTAATTAATAAGGTATTAAGTTCAAATTTGGTACACTATTTCAACATAAATAGTTACATCTTTTGAGATCAACAAAACAAAAAACAAATGTCAAATAATCAAAATAGGGGGGGTCCAGTACTCACTGACCCCCCCTATTTTTTAGTACGGGCGCCAGTGACTTCCAAATGGTATTTTTTCAGGTAATCATTTAGTGTTAAACATTTTTTGTCTCCTATAAAAATTTGATGAAATGATTTGTTTTAGAGATAATTTGTAAAGTATTGGTCCTTGATTGATGCCCAGGCGGCTTATGGCAATCTCATAATTTTCAAATGTACTACTGGACCACCCTATTTTGATTATTTGACAATTATTACATCTTTTTAGGACAACAAAACAAAAAACAATTGTCAAATAATCAAAATAGGGTGGTCCAGTACTACATTTGAAAATTATGAGATTGCCATAAGCCGCGTGGGCATCAATCAAGGACCAATACTTTACAAATTATCTCTAAAACAAATCATTTCATCAAAATTTTATAAGAGACAAAAAATGTTCAACACTAAATGATTACCTGAAAAAATACCGTTTGGAAGTCACTGGCGCCCGTACTAAAAAATAGGGGGGGTCAGTGAGTACTGGACCCCCCCTTTTTTGATTATTTGACATTTGTTTTTTGTTTTGTTGATCTCAAAAGATGTAACTATTTATGTTGAAATAGTGTACCAAATTTGAACTTAATACCTTATTATTTACTCGAATTATTAAAAAAAATCTATTTTAAATTTCAAACTTTGTCGCCCTGTATATCGAACATGAAGCTCTAAATTGAAAAATGGTATTATGAAAGTCTTATTGTTTTAACTCAAGGAATATATGGTTAAAGGATTGACCTCCTTTTTCCGGACACCCTGTAGATTAAATCTATAAAGATAAAAACCAAATCATTCTTACATTTTACTGACATGTGTGTGATATATCATATACATATATACATAGGCTAAAGCATGATACAAATTGTATAGTTCCCAAACTCGACGGCCCAACCTTATTGTGAAAAATACTGTTAGTTATTTCTAAATTAGGCGCTTTGAAAAGTAAATTTAGCAAAAAAACAAATAAAAAATGATGGCGACGCTCAGCGCCGCGGCGCTGACGAAAGTCTTTTTTCCACGAACATACTTTTTTTACTAGGGTTGGAAAGATAATTAAAATCTCAGAGTTTTTTATTAAAAATTGTAATCAATCAAAGAGCATTTTAATCAATTCTTTCCAGAGAATTGATTAATTAAATTATAAAAAACAAAAAAAAGATTCCCATGTTGTTTAAATGAAAAATAGAAATTCTCGATGCGCGACCTCTAAATATTAAAATTGAGAGCTCCGGTACCATAAAGATATTTCAGGGTAAATTTCAGAAAGAAAATTTGTTGATTTCTTTGAACCAGCCTAATATATACCTTTATAGATATTATGTAAGTTTATGTTACCATTAGTTTACCCAGTTAGTATGGCGGCGCTTAATGAATTATTACACATGAAGGAGTAAGAAGCTAAAAGTGAAGTTATTTACTTTTAAAGTTTTTGCTATTACAAAAATTTGGATACTGGTTTCAATATTATTGTTTGCATTAAACAACATGCATAACAATTTTTATGTTATGAGAAAATTAAAAAAAAATTGGACTTTTAACTACCCAATTCTACACTTAACTTATTTTCATGCTAAAATGCACTTGTACCCTTTTGCTTCTCACCCCTTCACGTGATCACATGTCAATATCTAACAGACATTCTACAACAGAATCTTATTTTGAGTTTTTATTGTCAATCATGGTCTATGGTCTGTTGTCAACGTAGAACAATCAATTAACCAATTAATTGTTGTAATAATCTATTGTTGGCACATATATATGTAGCAAAACGCATGCGCATTGTAAAAGTAAAACCATTGTTTAAACATTGTGTACATTAAGCATAATCTATATAATAAGACTTTAAACAATATAAACAAGGTAAACCAATTATCTTTTAGTTTAAAAACTTAATGTTTATAATCTTATATCTTTTTATATAATGAAGGTAAAATGTTTAAAATAATTTTTTGGGACCCCTGCTTAACTCCGATCATAGACCTTCAAAGTTTTTACTAAAAACTGAAGCCAAAATATAGTTTATAGTTTTATAGTATAGTTTAGAAATGCCTGTCTAGTAAAAAAACGTATTTATAATTTACAATTTAACTTTTAAATACATTTACTAATATGTAAGCAAAAAACGGAAAGCCATATGTGTATAAAAATATTGAGATTTAAATACAAACACAAAGAACACCAAATTTGAGCCCTTTATATTTGTCAAACGCAATTTTACATTTTCATTGGGTTAAAATGGAAAAATAAATTAAGTTATTTCTAAATTTTGTAGCGCAGTAACGAGGCAACTTACAT